ATTTAACTCACAAAATGTTTGGATTAATTTTATATGCTTAGAATCCCAAGCAAAATCCATAAAGAATATTGTGTTTTTAAGGATTTAAAAACCGTGTTTTGAAATTCTCAAAAAAAAAAAATTTAATGTTTATATTTTGGTTTTAAATTGATTGTTTATGCTTTAATTGGTTATTTGAGAGCAAAACCCACGAAAACAAATAAATTATTTAATTGATTGTTTATGCTTTAATTGGTTATTTGAAAGCAAAACCTTTGAAAACATTTATGTTTCTAAGGTTTTTTAATCTATTAATTTGAAATTCCAAAAAAAACTTTATTGTTAAATGCCTGATTTGTAAGAGTGTTGAAATTGACAATTTAAATGTATATAATCTTGAATAAAATCCATATAAAAATATTATTTTTAAGGTTTTCAATCAATGTTTTGAAATTTTTTTAAAAAACCTAACTCGTTTAATGTTTATTTTATATGATGAAATTGATTGTTTAGGCTATGCTATGGTTGGTCGCAGGTTATATAATGCCTCAAATTCATATGCATGATGAAGAAAAAACCTTCATTGACTACTACGCTTTTACTGATTGCATTATGTACTTGGACTTGTTGTTCATGTCCAAACAAGTCTTTGATGTAGACTAAGGTTCGGCACTTTGAGATGATCGTGGAGTTAAAATTCACGATGACAATTCAACGATTATGTGAATGGTTATCCATAAAATGGATTTGATGATCCATTTTTATATGGAGAAGGACTCCAATATAGAGCCAATAGATTTTCCAATGCCGGATTGTTTAGACGAGAATTATAAGAAAAAAAGGCATAACTAAAAGTACTTTTCTCGGCATGATGTTAGTGGCACGGACAAAAATAAAAATGTAAGTGAAGGTGTTAGTTTAGATGACAATTTTATTATGGGTGGTAATGAAATTATGGAATTAATATGAGTGACCATCCTAATTTCAATTTTGAAACAACATGTAGTCAAATTAATGGGATCTAATGTCCTTCGAATAATTTTTCATTTTCATATCTCATATGGAGTCCGATCAACGGACTTTATTGGAACTCTGTCCATTGATATAGAATTTTATTCTTTTCTAGGTGATCTAAAATTTCTTGCTTAGTATTTATCACCTCGATATGGTCAAAACGCCTTAATACTTTTACTAGTTTGTTTCTTAACTTTAAATCTAAATTCTTTGAACCTTTCAAATGCTTTAGACTTGTGTCTCATACATAGCCAAAATATGATCTATCATCAATAAAGGTTATGAAATAATCATGTCCTCCTCTTGCATGGGTGAACATGGACTTAAATACATCTCTATGTGTAAGACTTAACTAAATCGAGTAGCTCTTTCTTCTTTTTCGTTGAAAGGGGATTTTACGTCGTTTAGTCAAGTAAACATGATTCATAAATATCATCAAATAATTATATATATTCATTTATCATTAGTTTGGATATACAATCCTTATTTATATGGCCAAGTTTGACGATGCTATAATATATATTTGTTTAGATCATATGAGTTTTTTAACATTTATGTTATACATAAGAGTTTCATTATGTTCAAAATATACTAATTATTATCAATCAAAATATTTTCATACTATAATTTATCTTAAAAAAGAACAACCATTATTCTCAAATAAAATGAAAAACTTATTCTAAATAAGAAATAAAAATAATATCCTTATTCTATACTAGGAATAAATTAATAATAGTTGTTGAATCTAGGCACAAGCCTACATAGTAGTACTAACTCATCGACACCTACAACTAATGGTTCAACTTTTGATCCATTACAATCATGTAGGTCATCCTCTCTTGAGGTAATCTTCCTTATCTTTCTAAGCTCTTGCATATTTTTGTAAATGTGAGCACCAACCTAGTATCATATATTCATGAGGTGGAATTCAAAATAGAAAGATTAGCTTTAATAACATAAATAGTAGAACTCTTCTTTGTACCTCCGTCGGTACTCCTTACAATTACGCTTCCAATGCCTTTTCTTATTGTAATGATAGCAAACTGCTTCCTTTTTGATATATTGAGCCTCGACCTTTTTTACCATTCCAATAGACGCAATAAAAGACTTCTTTTTCTTTTGGTGCTTGGGTTTTTTCTTGCTCTTTACTATGCCTTTTCTCGTTATTAACCGAAGTACGTAAATCTTGTTCTTCCTGTTAATCTCAAGCTATGCTTCCCTCGGTATGGACGAGTAACTTTTTAAGAGATTTTTTCATGTGCATCATGTTAAAGTTTATGATGAATTATCAAAAGTTATTGAGTAATGATTACAATACTAGATCAATGGATAATTTTGCATCTATTATAACTTGAAGCTCGATCGACTTATCGATATAGCCTATCAACTTAGTGACATGGTTTTTGACATTGGATCCTTCATTCATTGTGGCTCTAAAGAGTTTCTTTGTTATTTCATAGCACTTATGCCTAGCATTCTCCTCAAATAAGCTCTTAAGCTTTGCTATGATATGAAAAGTGCTCGTGTCTTTATGTTGGCACCTATGTTTCAACATCATAACTCGCTTGCATGATACTTTAAGAGATGATCACATCATATCTTATGCTATGAAAAGCGCTATGAGCCTATCAACTCGGTGACATGATTTTTGACATTGGATCCTTCATCCATTCTGGATCTAAAGAGTTTCTTTGTTATCTTATAGCACTTATGCCTAGTATTCTCTTTAAATAAGTTCTTAAGCTTTGCTATGATATGAAAAGTGCTCATGTCTTTATGTTGGCATCTATGCTTCAACATCATAACTCGCTTGCATGGTACTTTAAGAGATGATCATATCATCCCTATGTTTGACCCATGCTACATAAGTTTTAACTTGATCCCGAGGAGGCTTAGCTAGGAGAGGTGACTTTATCATGTAGAGAATCTTCTCATGTTGGATGACTATTCTCGCATTCATTTTTTAGTCGAGGAAGTTTATGTCATTGAAGGCATTACTTCCATCAATAATCAATCATATCGATGTGTTACTAGTCATACTGTGTAATTTGACATGATAGAAAAATGTATGGCTTAGCTAATTGAATTGTATAAATAAAATAAACCATAAATTAAGAAAAAAATCTATGTTCGCTCCTATTATTTTCTTCAAGTTTTATAATCTTTAATAAAAGGACTCGAGAAAATTTTTTGATTCGTTTTTCTTAGTGGATTAAGATCCCATCCTCTAACATGCATGAACCTTAAATTATCTCAACAAGTCATACATGAAGGATTAGGTAGGTAACTCCTTACCAATTGTATCCAATGTAATTTTTAATCTTATTGGCATGATAAATTCTTGTCATCCCACATCTTATATGAATACCAATCTTTACCTATAAATTTGTTGGGCCTTGACTTATCTAAAAAAACTCGATAATTTATCTCAAGTTAGAACCAAGTGTTCAAAGACATTGCATAACCTATGATTTGATTCCTTCGAGGAAGAAGAGACCTTGAGGTATCTCAATAAGCCAACAATGACCAAGAGAGTTCTCTCCTTATAACATTGAAATGACAATTAAATTTATATTATTTTGAAGGATTTAATATGATTGGTCTTATCTCGGTATGCATGTTAGTCATCAATTACATTAATCCTATCATGCATACTATCAATCACAAAATAAATACATACATTCCATGCATGACTCAAAGATCGGTGAATAGTAATGGATCTCTACTACTAATCCATTCAAGCCAAAAGGAGACTAGTGGATCAAGTACCTAAGTGAAAAATTATTACAAATTCTTCGAAAAATTATCTTCTCTTATTGGCTTCTTTTCTTTGCATATATTCCAATATCCTATCTTCTATTTTATACTTTTTCGAATAAGAAACCTTGAGTTACATTCAACGGGAGTAAAATGAGAAAAAAATATACATCGGTATGATAGAAAAAACAAGACACGCGAGCCCTATTTAACCAAAAATTACAAACATATATTCTCAAAAATTAGGTCAGCTCATTCACACCGTTCACTCATGCTTCAATCACATAGATACATGGTGAAAAGTTATCAATAACTTCATTTCAAAGATTAGTTTTGAAGAAAAATAGTTTCGAGGCCATTGATGGCTTCGTCTATATAGGTGAAAAGTCACTGGTGGCTACTTATTTTACGAACATAAATTAAGTAAAATAATTTCATATAGTAGTAAACATGGCAATTATCTCATTCTTAATCAAGCAAAACATTTGATAGTTCCACTCTTTTCATCAATAACATGGCATTTTCATCATTTTTATTTATTTGTTAAAACTAATTTTTATAGGTTTGAAAATTACCTAAGATATTTTGAAAGGTTAGGAGTTTGTCTAAAAGTTTGATTTAGGATCATTTCCACTCTTTTCATCCCCGAATAATAATTGATTATTTAGTTAGCTAAGAAAGGAGAGTAGTCGCCCATTGTCAAAGTTACCGTAACTTATCGAAGTTGTTACAATTTATCAAGGTTACTCGTAATTGGCCAAAGTTATTGGAACTTAATGGGACTTTGCACTAATAGAGTTGCTATGTTATTCCTGAAAAAATAAAACACAAATACGATCTACAATTTCATGTTATTCTTATCAAAATCTACAATCAAAACAATATTTTTTTTTTAAGTTTAGTTCAATCCTAAACTAGTTCTAACTACGAGTTCACAACTAATAAAAACATTCATTTTGATTTTTTTACCTTTTATTCTTCATGAGATTAAAACTATAGTGGTAAGTGTTTCTTGCTTGGAAGGTGGAATAGGAGAGTCCGGTCATAAGATATTTGGGTGGAGGTTACAACTGATAATGATCTTAGTTGGATAAAGAAGAGGGAAGGAATGTGGTTATTGCTTGTGGGTTCGATCGGGTGAGGAATTTATATGGATAAAGGCACTTGGTTTTGGGCGATAGGGGGCTATTGGTATCGAGTTGGAATGAGAGGAGTTTGCATGGATGATGGGTGTCAGGTTATAAAGGAGAATGATGATGGGTCTGCTCATGGGTTTTGAAGATGGATGGTCGGGATGGTGGAGGAGAGGATGGCGTAGGGCTATTATGGCGAGGGAGGAGAGGATGGGTGAGGTTGTTCGAGCTGGTGGAGGAAACGATGGTGTAGGGCTATTCATGCTGGTGGAGGAGAGGATGACGTAGGTGATGGTTATCGGGTTAGAGAGGAGAATGATGTTGGGCCGTCCTAGCTCTTGTCTAAGGATTCGAAGTCGGCGAAGTATCACGAGTTTTAAAAGGGGGTGTTCGGGCAAGAAAGGAGAGGATGGTGTGAGACTTTTTCGAGCTAGTGGAGAAGAGATTAGTGTGGGGTCATTCGGCAAGGGTGGAAAGGATGGCATAGGGCTAATTGCAGTAGAGATTTTAGCTATATGGTTTTTGTTTTTAAAGATGATGAATAGTGTAAGATATCTAAAAATGTAAGAGAGGGGGTATTTATAGGTGGATTTAGAGTTTTGGATCTTTTAAATGTACCTTTTAATTGGGTCTTTTTTGGTTTTCAAACTTTTTATTTTTTAATTGGACCACTAGAATTAGTTTGAATCACCTATTTTAATGGCACACCTTTTTATTTAATTTCTTTTAAATATTTTTTATTTTTTATAATAAAAATAAGAATAAATAAAAAAAGCAAATAATGGATAGAAAAAATTGAGTATTAATAGCAATCATGGAAAAAGAATTAGTGGTGGAATGAATGCAATTGGTAAAGGTTATAACTTTCAAGATGATAGAAATAGAGATGGTAAGACTTGTGAAAAAGAGGTGGTAGGAGAGGAGTTGGTGGTAAGAGTGGTAGTAATAATGTTGGTGGTAGCTTAAATAAAAATGGCAATGGTGGGAAATGAGTCTGTTGGTGATAGAGGTGAAATTAGTAGAGGTTACAGACCTTCATGATAGTGTAAATAGAGCTGGTATGGCTAGTGATAGAAGAGATGGAAGTGGCTAGTAGCATGAGAGAAGCTAGTGGTAAGAGAGGTGACAGTGGTGTTGTTGAAAATACTTTTGATGTGCAAAAAGCAATACATTTACATTTGTATTATTTGTAAACACAAATTATATGTTGTCTTTCCTAATGTTTGCTAAATTGAATTCTAAATAAATTTTCAATTTCATTTGCTTAAACAAAAAAAAGACAAAAGAATGAAGCTAGTAACGAGTGGTGCTAGAATTACTAACACGAGTTGCAATGACTAATTATATATCAATACTAGTGCTATAACATACTATTTAAGGGTACATATTTGTTGTCTTTGTTACCTAGTTAATAACTTCTTTTGACACATATGATTTAGAATACCCTCACTCATATATTATAACCTTACTCGTAAGATACATAAAAGTTTAAATATTGGTTTTTTGTTAGTTTTATAACTATAATATGGGTAAACACTAATAGGTTAATGAACTAATTGTTTTAATTATATATTGCACTCCATGTTAGACATTGTCAATTAATGTCATTTAGCCATTTTTTTTTTTTTTTTAACATTTAGATTGGTTTTACGCAAATTGGATAAATTTCAGTAGCTTTTTTTACTACTTTCTCACTACTAACATGAATACAAATATGTATATTAGTATTACACATATTAGGTTAGCTATTAAGATATACTTGAAGTTTGTAATACTGTTTTCTAAGTGGTGATGCTTCATCCATTGTCTTTTTAATTCATCTCTTATCTTGTGGACTTCATCCACAATAAGTTGGATATCAACTTTGTGCCCTCTCGTTTTTTTAATCCAATTATAAATAGATTAACACAAATCGATGATTGAAATCTCACGAAACTTATCATCCCACATGTAGAACAATTTATTTGTGCTTCTATCAATTTATGAGATCCTAACAAAAGCACGTTTATTATATTTGTTGCATCTAATATTCTTGAATCTTAATCTATGAAAATCTTGTTGATTGGTGGTGTTTGAAAAAGAGATTTCATTATTTTAGGATGAAGTTGACATTGAAAAATAAAGAGGGTGTTCTATTTTGAATTTTTGGGTGTTTTCAAATGAATTTTGAATGTTGAATTGGATTTTGGGTGTTTGACATGTTCTATATATTTGGGCATTATAAAGCCCTTCATCAAATGGTAATATTCCCTTCTCAAATAGCTAGTCTATCTTTTAAAAGTATAAGTGCTTTCAAAAGGCATTTTGACCATCATCAAAATTTAAAGGCAAACTTATAATAATTTATATGTTTTTTTAGTTGAATATTTGAGACTATTAACGTAATCAAAATATAAAGTGTTTTTTAAATAATATTTTCATATATAAAGTGCAAAATATAATTTATAATAAGTGAGGGAGCAAAATGTTCCCACTCTCAAACTATAAGGTGTTTAAAATAATTTACTATTTTTTTTATATAAAGGTCCAATAGAACTCAATCTATAAAATGTCATCTTCTCCTCCTTTATATTTTTTTACTTATTTTTTTATTTGTTAAAACAAAAGAAAAACAAGATAGATTGAAAATAATAATAGTAATTAAATTATAAAAAATTAAAAATATAGAGACTAAATAATTAGTTTTTAAAAGAAATGCGAATAATTAATTTATTTCTCAAAACTAAAAAAACTAATTTATGGCTTACTCCTATTTTTAGTCCTGGATTTTTCTTCTTTTTCCGAATAAACGAGAGAAATTATTTGTTCCTTCTCAATTGTTTTTTCCATTAATTTAAGTACCTCTTTGTTTATTTATTTACTTATATAAAGGCTCGATAGAACTCCACCTATACCTCTTTGTCTATTTATATAATGGCCCAATAAAATTCGATCTATACGATGATAAACAATCTTCCCTTATCCATAAATCTCATCCCACTTTTTTGACGATTTGAATCTAAAATTTTATTATAGAAACTTCAAGTTTTAAAGAAGTTTTGAACTATACAATGAAAATAACTTATCATGATCTCCAAATTCCATTCCATCCTTACTAGAATTTGAACCTAATACTTTCTAGTAGAAATCTTAAGTGTTGATCGTTGGATTGCCTCCCTTTTCCTTTTAATCGACCCACAGTCACCGATGTTCGTAAAATTTAACATAATAATTGCTCACTACCCAAAAAAAAAAAAAAAAGGGAATTACGTGGGATTTGAATAACTTGGAATATTGGATAAAAAGAACTAAATAGGTGGACCTGTTTTTATCGTTGAGTTCGAGTCAGGATGACGCGTAGGATTTATGACACCCCAAGCAGCAAGAGAGGGATTTCTTTTTGCCATATTTCTTTCAGGATCAAGGGGGCCATTATCGAAAAAGAGATAGGTGCTTAATGCACCAATCTATCCCTGTCAACAAGACCATTACAAAAGAAGACAGCTATCAAAACACTGAAGCATTTACATGATATATATATATATATATATATATATATATATATATATATATATATATATATATATCTAAAGGACGGCTCTGTTTTGTCTAACTAATAATTTATTCTTATTTTAAATGAAAATAAGAGACAACAAAACCTAATTACCTAACCTTTGAATGAAAATTAAAAAAAATATATGCAAAACTTTTACTGAATCATAAAGAGATTTAGCTGGCCGACATTTCAATTTTTATTAATCTTCTACATGTCATTTGTTTCACAACATTAGTGCTACAAATTAATAAAAGACGAACCCAAACCGTTAAAAGATTGACAGAATAGTAGTACAACCGGAAGCCTGGGACAGTGAAAAAGAAGAAGAAGCAATCTTTGGGGCTATTTGCTCCATTATTCTTTTTGTCATGTGCCTGGAAAACCTACATTGTATTTTTCCGTTTGACCAAGGAAAATTAAATCATTTTTTTTAATCATTTATCCATGACTGACTAGAAGTATTATTTTCATTTTTTTAATTACCATGCTTGTTTAATTTAATTACTAATATAATAAAAATACAATAAAGCTTCCATAGAGAGAGAGACGTTGGATTAGAAAAGGGCATGAAGCATGTGGGCTTCTCATGTTTTCTGCTCCAAATATATAAGAAACAACACACCCCTTTTGATTTCTTCAACTTGTTTTAATAAATCATTCTTCAATTCAAGATCAACCCAGATTTTTGTTTCTTAGTTTAACATTGATTTCTTAAAAAAGTTTTGTTCTTGCAACTTATATAAAAGTAATATTATTATCTACTTAAGATTTTGCTTGATTGCCTTTTGTCTTTTTTCTTTTCTTTTTTTCAAAAGGTCTTTTGAGATTGAAAATTGAGGAAGATATAGATATATAGAGATTCCATTAAGGTAGTTGTTGTAATAGAGATTGTGTGAATGGAAGAAGGCAACACAAGGAGCGGCAAGTTCAAGAAGGTTTGTGTGTTTTGTGGAAGCAACTATGGCAACAGACAAGTCTTTAGTGATGCTGCTATTGAATTGGGAGATGAACTGGTTGGTCGAACAAGCTCACTTTTATAGCTTGTGTTTTTGTTTTCTAAGATTGCTCGTGTTTTTTGGTCTCAAAGATTTGAACTTTTTTGATACTTTGTCATTCTTAGAAGGTGTTGTGAGGTGTTTGATATATATATATATATATATATATATATATATATATCACTCAGTGCATTTATTTGGATAGTTCTTGTATTTGTGGTCATCTTGTTTATCTGTGTACTTTTTGTTTTGAAATGGACATTGGATGTATTAGATTGGGTTTATGTTTGCAAGCAAGACGTATTGTGGTTTGTACTGATTCAATGATGTAAGTGAATCTTATCTTTGAAAATGGAACTGGTCTTCAGCTTTTGTTTCAATGATTAGTTTGGTTGCTCTTAGCGGATTTTCGGCTAGTTTTCTGGTTTGCTGATATTGAATGTGGCTTATAGGTGAAACGGAAGATAGACCTGGTGTATGGTGGAGGAAGTGTTGGACTGATGGGTTTAATATCCCAGAAAGTGTATGATGGAGGCTGCCATGTTCTCGGGTAATCAAGCAACTTGCGTCGAGGAATATACTCTTCTCGTTCTTTCATTTTCTGTTGTTACTTGTTATTAAATGCAAGGTGTTTGATCTTTTCACGTTATATTGCAGTACTAAGCTAATAGTTGCTCCTCAAATGCAGGGTCATTCCAAAAGCACTCATGCCCCTTGAGGTACCTATGCTATTAACTCATATAAAATTTTGCCCTTCTGTCAATGCCTTTAACTATTGTGCTTTCTGTGAATATCTTTTCTTATTCTGATAATAATTTGTACTGGTAGTATGCTGACAAGGCGGTTTTTGTTTGAAATTAACTGATATAAAAATTTGCCCCCTTGTCAATGCCTTGGACTATGGTGCTTTCTTTGAATGTCTTTTCTTGTTCTGATAATAATTTGTACTGGCAGTATGCTGACAAGGTGGTTTTTGTTTGAAATTGATCTGCTTCTGGTTTTCACTCTTTTTAAGTGCTGCTTAGGTTTTACAAGTTTTTTCTCTTATTGCTTTCAGAGTTATTAACTATATCAGTTTGACTCCTTTGACATATTAGGAGTGCTTCCCAAGTTCCCATTGCACTTTCATCTGTTTGTATTTGGTTCTAGCATTCTAATCTCCATCCGGACTTTTTGGTTTAAAATATACTGAACCCTTTATAATAATAGTTCTAGCTCTCTTTGCTGAAAAGTAGTTATATCTTTTAGCAAGTAAAATTGTGATCAATTGCTCACCAGTAAATTGTTATTGGCAACAATATTCCAGATATCTGGTCAAACTGTGGGAGAAGTAAGAACTGTTGTGGACATGCATGAGCGTAAAGCTGCCATGGCTAAGGAAGCAGATGCCTTTATTGCTCTTCCTGGTAATGACCTTTATTTACTGTTCTCATCAATTTTTCACAGAGAACAATTAGCAATACAATTTCATACCTGAGAAGCAGAAGTAAATATCTCAATTCATTTACTTTAACAGGATTTCTTTAGTTTTTAAAATGCTTCTGATAATAAGCAATACTACTCGAGTATGTAATAAGCAATAATACTTGTGAGTATGTTTGTAGGAGGATATGGAACCATGGAAGAGCTGTTGGAGATGATCACATGGTCGCAACTTGGAATTCATAAGAAACCGGTAACCCTGCCATTCTTCATGCTTGAGGATCTTATTTAGGCAAACTACCGTTCATGTTGAAACTGAGTGGTACTCTTTACAGGTTGGTTTGCTAAATGTTGATGGATATTATAACTGCTTGCTTGCATTATTCGACAATGGTGTCAATCAAGGTTTCATCAAGCCTGGTGCTCGGGACATAGTTGTCTCAGCTCCAACAGCCAAAGAACTTATGGAAAAGATGGAGGTAAAATTTTAGACACTCGGGCTTCAAGAAAATTTACTTTTACGGATAAAAAAGAAAAGAAAATGTCAAAAAAGAGGAGGGAGAGAATGCACACCTATAAGATTACTTCCAGTTGCCCCAATTTTACTTCACTTGCTTTGTTTCCTCAAAATGATGAGAGAAATTCCATTAGTTTTTTATAAATGTTCGATGATAGCAATAAATTTTCTTCATGAATTTATGATGAAATATTTCTAAATTGCCAGTGATGTGGATTCCAATTAGTTGATTTGATGAGGTCACAAAAATCGAAAATAAGGTATTGAAGGAAACACTAGTTCAAGCTTATACAAGCTAGTCTTCCATGTTTAAGTTACTCTTTGGCATTTAGAGAACGAGTGAAGGTGCATTTACTACACATTCCATCCTTGCTGGAGCATCTTTCTTCTGTATTCTCAAATGGGACATTGCCGAGCCACTTGGCTTGTAGTTGTTCCAACTCCAAGAGCCTATGCCTATCAATAACTTTTTCTTGAAATTGATATTTAGTTATAACAAATAGAGCCGTGTTACTTTGACAGAATTTTAAACTTTAAATTCTTTTGCAGCAATACACTCCTTCCCATCAACATGTGGCACCTCATGAAAGCTGGGATATGGTGCAACTAGGAGGTTATGCTGAACAGCAGAATGCACAGTGAAATATTGGTGGTAGGTCTTTATCCCAAATTAATTCCTGATGTAATCCATCATAATTCGAGCTGTGTACAAGATTCTTTCTGAAATGGGGCCACATAATTGTTGGTTACCATGTACCTTTTTCGTTGTTTTATGGTTCTGAAGTCTATTAGAATCATCCATTCTGTTTCACAACCTTCATTGGTTTATGGTCAATCAGGCCACCTATTTTGGGGTCATACGACTTATCTGGTTGTTACCACTTACTGAAGGGCAACGATACCTTGAAATGCAAACAAATTGTAAGCAGGTTTAGTGCAATTTCTTATAATGAACAGTGAATAATGGTCCCACAGTGCAGTTACATAAGTGGACTAATTAAGTGGGTTAGTTGGAGACAACTAAAGTGGTTTGGTAGTCATGCTATTCAATCCAACTTCTGAAGTCGATTCTGTCGACGACCATTCTATCATATCAAAAATTCTTTTCAGTGTCAAATGGAAGTTGAATTTGTAGCAATTTTCACACGATGAGAAGAGGTTTCTGTCAAGGCATTTGTAGTACATGATTGGTGAGTGGTCAGGTTGTCGGCTGGTTGTTGTGGTGAAGATACAACAGCGTTGGGCAAAAGTAGCCTCTTACAATTTCTTCATTTTTTTCCCTAAATTAACTTTCACACTATGTGAAATAAAAAAGATTAGCGGGTTGATAACAAGAGTGTTTATATGTGGCTGCCACAAGCAATATTGCTGTTAATCCTGCAGCTTCTTGCGAAGGGCAGTTTTTGTGTTGGAAGCATTTTCTAGCAACAGGCAAACTACTGTATATTTCCTACCCTTGCTTTTGTTTTTCCTAAGATATCTTGCTTTAGTCACTACTAGTTTTTTTACCTGCGTTATACCGTTGCAGTTTGGATAAAATATATAAAATCATTTCAAAAATTCATTTCAGTTTGATAATCTGTTTTATAGCGTGAATCTATAAAAAAATATGAAATTAAAGGTGTCAAAAATTATTTAATAAAAAATTATGTATTTAACTTTTTCTTACTTGTGTTTTTTCATAATTTTTTCTTTAAAAAAAGGATTCATCCTTGTTAATCCATGGATTATTAATTAAAAAGAAAATTAAATAATTTTTGTAAAAAAGCTTTAATATTTCATAAGATTGTGTCAAAATACATAAATAACAATTATTGAAAGTTTACATAGAATTGAACCAATATTTTTTTTATTTAATGTTGATGAGAATATCGATTTTTAAAAAAAATGTGAATTTAATTTTTATATATTTATTTAAAAAATAATGAATAATATTAAAATAAAAAAACTATATTAATTTGAATTATTGAGTGGCTAAGCCAAAACATTATTTTAATTATTTAATTTAAAATAAGTTAATTTTAAAATATTCAAAAACAAATAAATGAATAGTAAATGCTTAGTGTAGTGGTAGTTGCATAGTTAATTTTTAAAAAAACCACGATTCAATTTTTTTTATACATCATAACTATACTAAGCGAGTTCGTAGTTTTCAGTTTAAAACAAAAAATATTATAAAAAAAAGTTAACTTGCAAGGAATCTATTGACTAAATTTGAAGTTAATAGACTAAAATAAAAATTATTACAAATTTGATTTCGATTAATTTTGATTATATAAAGAAGAAACAAATTAATAAAACATGTGAATACTTTTTTTTCCCCTCCTTCTTAAATATATTTATATTTTTTATTTCTATGCTATGCATTGCTAGTCCTTGAATTCGGACCTCACACATAATGACCATCTTCTTTTTATTTTTCACATTTGACTTTCAATTATTAATTAATTAATTTGAGATTTTTTCTAAAAAAATCGAGAAAAAATACACTTTTAATCTAAAAATATGTTTTAGACAAATTATATATATTAATCATGCCACTATAATTTAAAAGTTATCAAATCTATTTTTCAAAAGAAAAAAATAATCATGTTCTAAAAATTTATTCCAAAATTCATACATATAAAAAAATAAATCAAAACTATTAGTAAATATAATTTTAATTTAATTGGATGAGAATTTAAAAAAATGACAAATTAAAGTAGTAAATTTTAAATAATAAAAATAATTAGCAAATTAAAGTTTGAAACTGAAAAAAAAATGACAGATTTAAAAAAATGACAAATTAAAGTAGTAAATTTTACATAATAAAAACAATTAACAGAAAACACTAAAACAAAATAGGATCAAATCACAATACAATTAAAGTTTGAAATTAAAATAAAAAAGTATAAAAAAATTGAGGACCAAAATGTTAAAAAAATGACATAAATAGTAAAAGAAATAGTGATTTGTGAGTGTATAAATAATAACTTATAATTATATAAATAGTGTTTTAAATAATAAAATGAATAGTAAAATTATTACTTTAGTCTGTTTTGTAATTAGAAGTAAACCCTCTTGTTATATGCATTTGAAAGCATCTTAAAGAAAGCACGTAATAAAACTTATCTTGTAATTATCGACGAGATTTGGTGATGATTACCGGACCTTGTTTTTTGTCCTAGGAAGATTTTCTTTTCTTGCTTTATTTGAATACTCACTCAGCTCCAAACGAAAAGTTAGAAGGTTTGTGAGACTGCAAGGATTTTTAAAAGTGATTATTGCATCGAGCTTGTCCTTTTTTGAAATATATAAATCCAATAAGGCGAAAAGGTACAACCACTTCCAAACTTTAAATAATTTAAGATTGAGTTTCTAAATTTTTTTATAAGTTTTGGATATCTAAACTTTTAATTTTTTTCATATTTAATCTATTTTTCAATTTTATATAATTTATTTTAAAAAATAATAATAAAATAAATAGTTTCATCATGAAAATCATTAATTGAGATTTATGTAGAGTTTTTGAAAAAATTTGAGATCATTTCGGGATTATTTTTTATTTTTCTTGATTTTATATATTTTTAATATTAAAAAATAAACAAATATAGTTTTTTATTTTGAAAATTTTTTGAAGTTTTTACAAAATGGATTGAATTTTTTTTTCTCAATGTGTGCAAAATTTAAACTCAAAATATCAAGAATTGATTTTTCTTTTTCTTTTTTTTTCTTTTTTCTTTTTAAGAGAAGATAACTAAAAAGCATTGAATGGACTAAATCTAAAAAAAATTAAAAATTCAGAAATACTCAAAATAAAAAAAAAATTAAAAACTTAGGAGTGATTAGAATTTTTTTAGTCATATAATAAATCAATTACACGCATGAAAATATGGGTCATGAGAGACTGTACATGCATCAATAGACTGAAAGAGGCACATACAATGAACCTATAACACTAAGTCTCTCTCCTCTCCCTTTTGACTTCCTCCACATTAACCTTTTCTTTTTAGGTTCTTTGGGGGTAAATTATGCTATAATGGGACTTGAACTAGAAGCAATTATTTAGCCTAAGTCTAGCAAATTTTGAGATTTCATACTGGCATGCTGAATTCAATCAATATCCCAGTAAAGTCATTGCCGATGAGAGTTTAAATCAAATAAACATGTTTATACTGCTTATAAAGAACTACTACTAGTGCTTAGGTTGCTGAAGGAAGCAAGCCCTTGGCTGATAAAATGTGCCCAAAAAAAAAAAAAAAAGGCCTTAAAAAGCTTAATTCTTATCCTAAACTTCGTGTGAAATAATTGAATTCATAACAAAGAACCTTTTCTTTGTAGGGGTACTCCTGAAAGAAACATTTGCGGTTCTTTATGATGATTATTAGAAGGTAAATTAGCATCACGGTATTCTACAGTGTTATTTTGGGCATTAGAAACTTGTAGGCCTTTCTAGTGGCTGCAAATCCTTGTTTCCTTGTAGACATTCTTAAAGTTGCCCATATAATAGCTAGCAAAAAAGTCCATTAGCAGGGTAAAATGTTGGCAGAGCACTACACACAGCAAACCAATTTGTCCAAAATCTCTGGAGCCCAACTGCTCTGTCAGCTTTTGGGAAAATCATGTGTGACCTTCTTGGTTAAGGCTTTGGCTTCATTTTGATGGTGCCAACTGCAACCCACATGGTGATTGCCTGCTGAGGGGTCCTTAAGCCTGCGAACATGTTCTGTGGGTTCATCCAGTGAAGCACCACAGCATGCCACTTAATTGTATGCATAATTTTGCTGTTATTTTCCGAAGAATCAGAAAATAAAAGAAGACCAGCTTTTTTTTTTTGTTAAAATTAATGGTTATGCTTGATAGTGATATTATTGATTATATTTATTTTTTTATGTTTGGATTTTTGAATGTGATTTTTATGTTATATGCACTGAATAATATTTATTTTGTAATTTAGGAGAAGATTGAAAGCAAAAGAGTTAATGTGAGCTACCTCGGACGAAATTACACAATACTACATATTCATGAATTTCACATATTTAGAGTTCAATTAGGTGCTTCTTGAGATTTGAATTGGACATGTTAAACTTTTTAAGTCGGGTTTAAATGCACAAATTCAATCTGGTCAATTATAAAATCAAGTCAAGAAACAGGATCTTGTAACAATTTGGAATACTAATAAGTATTTGAACCATATTTCAAGTTCTAGATATTAGATTGAGGTGATTTAAAATATTATAGAAAGAAGATATCCGAGCCTAAAACTTTCATGAAAAGCCTAAGTCTAAAATTGACCGCCATCCGATCTAAAATCGGATCGGAAGTTTCAACATAAAATCTAAAATCTTATGCAGCAAGTCTTATTCAGGAAAGTCTATAAGATAGGATTATTAGTGTCTATTTGCATGTATCAATAGCCCCTACAATTACTCTAAAGAGGTTACGGATTCACACATTCATATAATTCACATTCATGATGTCCGACTAATTTTCTTATTCAATTCAAGGGATTTCAACTCAATTTTAACTCACATCGATTGTGAAACACAAGTTCTATCTTTAAATTATTCTTAATGATTTTAGTATCTTTTGTTTCTCTAATTTTAATTATTTATGATTGCAAAGATAATTATCTAAGGTGACCAATTAGTTAATTATCTATTGTGATTAATTACTAACTAACTTTCTTAATCAGTAGTTGTTATGAAAAGTTTAGCACAAGCGACCATTAAGTTTTCATGATTATGAGCTTAGTCGTTGTGATTACCTAAGGAAAACAAAGAATGAATTAAATGATTTAAGTGTCTTAAAGTTGTTGTTCAGTCTTAAACCCTTTTTTTTCTAATTTATAACGCTATTATTAATTTAACTCGGATTGCTTAATATTGAAATCAGCTTGATAATAAAAATTTAATTTGGATGATGAATTTGAATTAACGAATATAAAGAAGATTCAAATTTATCTAGCGTCTAAGCAATTTTATGCTAAGTATTCAATAAGAAAATAGTAATTTAAGTGTCTATGATCAATATGTGAATTGAATATGTAATTTTTTTTTAAACTAAATTTTTCTTTAATTGAAATTTTTCTACATTTAAATTATGACTTATTTTAATTTTAGTATATAACCAATCCCCTCCTAATTTTTAAGTTAATTGAATTGATCTATCAGCTTCTACAATTCAACCTAGACTTATCAATACCGTAAAAATTACTAAAAACAATAAGTAATTTAAATCGGTAAGTTTGATGATCATTAATGCCTCATCTCACCACAATGTGGTCCATTATTATGGTCTTTTCATGATTTTGATGATGCCTATGAAGTTCTGATAATAGGGTTTCATTTTTCAATATGAATCTTTCACCAACAATTATAGTTCCCGTCCAAGTACTGGTGGACCTTTTGGTCTAGTTATGTCATGAACTAGTAGGTAAAGGTGGAGATGGCTGATGTTTCTCATAGGGTCCCATTTTCTTTGTTTTTGTTAGTAAATGATTCACTACAATAACCGAAATGTCATTTCATTATTTGCTAGGACACACTATAAAGCTTTTGTAGGGATATACAACTGTTTATGCCATTATATGACAGTGGTTCCTTAAAATTAGATCTTGTTTTTGCAAACATCATCCTTTCAAATTGTTGCCAAAGTTTAAGCAAAGAGGAAGTGAGAATAAATAAAATATGAGGAAAAATTGATGAAATTTTACATATGATGCCATCTCTAAGTAGCTAAACAGAGTGTAACCGTCTAGTGTCGTCCGCAATAAATTTTGTCACCATCTTACCTATCCTAAAAATTCGTGCTTGATTTGGAATGACAATAAGTGATTTAGGATTTCTTTCATTGCTAAATTTTCAATGAATTTAAATCAAAATTTGATGTCTAATAGATCAAGAACTAGCCTCATGCTAATTAAATGATATAGTGTGTTGCTACTCGACATTTAGAAAAATTAAAAAAAAAACTATTAAAAACTATTTATTATTTATTTTGTTTTTGATTATTTATCGAAGATGTGAGTTAAACCATGTTTTGAAGCCGTCACCTAATATTAAGAAATTAGGAAACCTAAAAATGACACTCGGTTTCGTAGATTCTAGGGTAAGGAGTTGGTTATGCTTTTGGAAAGATATCGATCATCCATAAATACTTTTCTCTAAGAAAGGTACCACATCCGATCTAATCGTAAAAGTTTATCACCTAAAAAATTTAATTTTTGCCAAATTATTTTTCAGCTTAATTTCCAAGTTTATTACCTAAGTCTTTTTTTTTTTTTTTTTGCTTGTAGTATTATATTGAATCGATCATCGGACCTCATCGCTAGGGGTCTTATCAATTCAACATCGGTTTCAACTTAAGTCTCGACATAACCGGTATATCGAAGAACGATCTAATTACTAAGGTTGATTAATTTGATTCAATTAATAATATCGATTCTTATCAAATAGGAAACTTGTTAAATTAACTTAGCATTTTCTTTTATTCTTTTTATTTATTTATTTTTTGGCATTTTTTTAGAATTGAGAAAAATATATCAAAACCACCATCTATCCCTAATAATAACAGACTTGTTGGTTCCACATCATGACAAAAAAAAAAAAAAAAAATCCATGCATTAACATAAAATTTGCAACCTAAATATTTTTAGGTTTTTTAACACAAATAAAATTAAACGTTATCACAAAATAACACAATAAAATAATTTAAAAAAAGTAAGAAAACAAACGGAATGGTCACTAAAAATGACCAAAATACCCCTTGGAATGCTAGTAGAATTGACCAAAATGCCCTTTGCACGAGAAATGATCAAAATACTCCTAGAGGAAAATCTGGAATCGAAATAGTATTGGTGCATGCAGTACACTCGCCTAGCAAATGATAGGAATGCCCCTAAAGCTCCAGTCACTATTACCACTAGCTACAATCATTGCTTGGTGAGTACTTAGCACGTGACTAGTTAGGGAAGGAGAGCCTGGGCTTGTTAGTTCGTCTGGAGTGGGCGATTTAGGTCATGATGTTCGAAGGAGGGAGATTGACGTGGGTCGACAACTGCCGCTATCTCCTTTTTCTCCGATCGTGATTCTAACCACGACAAGGGACAAGGAGGATACCAATTAACTTAGAAGATCATGGGGAGGGTTTCTCTAGTGGTTTAGAGGTGCAATTTGGTAAGAAATGAGAGATTTGGCCAGGTTTGCAAAATGGGTCTTGATTAAGGTTTTGCTTCGATTTGATCATTTTTGGTGAGTTTTCACTGTGATTTCAAAATGGATCAGCTTCTAGAAGGGTGAGAAAGGTCTTTATGGTGGTTGGAGTAATTGGTTTGGCTAGAAATAGGAGATTTGGCCAGGTTTAAAGAGCGGGTCTAATCATAAAGTTTCTCTTCCAATTTACGACCTCTTTCGATGTCTTTCTCCTCTCCAAATGGTTGGGAATTGTTGATCTGAGGATAGGCTACTATCTTATGGTGGTTTTTGAGAGTGATACTGACCAGAGAGTGGTGTTTTTGAGAGATGAAAATATGTGATTATTTGGGTTTTACCCATGGGTTAGAGGGTTTGGTGAGGAAATCTTTAGGGGTTGTTTGGTTTTTTCTCTTTTTTTTTTCAATGGCAGCTTCTTTTTTTAGCTTGAGATTGGATTGTGAATACCCATTTTGAGAGAGATGATGAATATCGATTCTTCTATGTTTTGGCTAGTTTTTTACCCATGGGGTTGGAGGGTTTAATGAGGAAATCCTTAGGGGCTATTTGCGTTTTCCTCTCTTTTTTTCTTTTTAGGTGGCAACTTCTTTTTTCTAGCTTGGGATTGGATTGTGAGTACCCATTTTTGAGAGAGATGATGAATAGTGATTCTTCTACATTTTGTTTTTGTTTTTTTTTATTTTTTATTTTTAGGTAGGGATGATGGATAATTGTGGTTAGGTTGTTTTGTGATAGGTGAATAATGGATGTTAGATTTTTTAGTAGGAAGATGGGTGATGGAGGCTAGGATTTTTGGGTAGGAGATGAATAATGGAACCTCTTAAAAAATGAGGTAAAAGTGTATTTATAGAGAGATTTTTTAGGATTAGGATGAAATCAATCTTAGTCCTTTCTTGGTTTGTTTTTGTCAATTTCAATGTGTATTTCATTATTTTTCTCCAATTAGCTCTTTAATTAAAACTATTTGATCCATATTCTCTTGATTTCTTTCAATTTCATATTGATTAATTCTTGATTTTTTTTTATCCCATTTCAATTACATCCCTAATTGAATGTCACTTGGTCCTCACTTTTCATATCATTTTCAATTGAATCCCAAATAATCTTCACAATTTTTTTCTTTTTTTAAATAAAAATGAAGATAACCTTAAGAAATTAAAATTCTAAAAATTTATAAAAATACATAGAAATCATGGAAAGATAACCATGCAGCATGTTATTTTTTTTGGAATTTTTGTATGAAAATAGAGGGTGGATTATGACATAGCGCTCAAACAAACTGGGTAGCATCATGGCAAAACACATTGCATTGCTAACTAATTATTGTAGCAACCTTGTTCTACAATCTATTTCTTGGCCAGCTAGGGCTGTTAGTAGATGAAGTTGATCTTAGAGTGCTGCAGTATATAATACGTAGAACCTGTCGTATGCTGAGATGAGTACAGTAGAGTTGTTGACAGAAATCCAATCTTAATTACAACATCATACTGTGACAAATGGTTTAGATCTTACAGTCAAATGCAACTTGAAATGGAGTTAGAAATGGACAAATATTTCAAACTAGAATTATATCACAGAAGGAATGATTGAAAAAAATTTCATGCCTTCAAACAAAGCAGCGATCAGACCAACTGTACACCGACCCTCAAGCGTTGTTTCTATTCAAGCCTTCTCTTTAGATGGAGATGATATCAATTGATGCAAAGTTGCTGCATGAATAACGGCAGTTGGGTTTGGATCCTTAAGTCGGAGAGATCCTGATCGACTCAGACTGAAATTTCGATCAGCACTACCTCGTATGAAACGACGCAATGGTGGTGGAAGATGTCGCAGCAGCCAAGTTGAACTCACGAGTAAAATCACACCCACTACGATAAGCAGCCTGCAATAAGGACAACCTCAATGAAATAATATATTATAGCAACACGACAACATCTCAGTTTCCCTAGCTGAGATTCCTAATTCTCTATAAACACATTTGTTGTTGGACTACGTTTCATAAGTGCAACCAAACAATTACCAAATTTTACAAAATTGGCCATGGAAGGTAGATTAATATCATTGCATGGGGTTTAACTTATTTTTCTAGTTCATATTGTACTCAGTTCAGCCAAGCATGCTAACGGGAGATTGAATACTACATTTGACTCATCAGTTTGTGCCAAAAGGAGAAATTTTGATAACTGGAACTCAAGGTTTTTAAATCAGATGTCCACAAAATTGTCTAATCATATATTTTTTTCCACATGCAACCTCTGGAATAGGGCACCTTCACTGTGGTATAGCATCAATTATGAGGGTTTCAAGACCCACGACTCAGGGAATGAAGCTCAATGGTTTAATAAAAACTTTGCTTTACAATTACCATCCAAGCAGAAGAGAAAAACGAGCAGCTGGTGCTGAAGGCAACTGTTCTCCCAAAGCAAGCATTCCAGCAAGTACACCAGTCACTATTGATGCCACAGCAGCACATGTAGACACCACAATTGCCCTTCCATGCTTTAGACCTCGAGTCTGTTTAGAAGGAAAGTGTAAATCAGTTTGATCTGTCAACTTTTTCTACAGACAGAGATAACTTCAACAGGTAGAGTGAAATGGATCTGGCTCCACCCAAAACAAAACCAAATGGCAAATCAGCATGTGCATGCAACAGTGTAGAACAGAAAATAGAATCTCTTTTTTCTTGTTCTAGGATGAGAGACAAGCAGAAATCTCATCTTTTTTCTTGTTCTAGGATGAGAGACAAGCAGAAATCTCGTTCAAACACAGACATCTAAAATATGAAAAACAAGTTCAACGTGGAGAAAAAAGTCAAAATAGCCTAGATGGAGATCCAGAGAGAGAATCTAGATGATGATTTGAAATACCTGGTAATAAAATCCCGTAGCGCTACAGCATATACTGATGGAGAGGCATGTAGGAACTAGCATTGTGGAGAAGCCCTGCTCTAGGAAGACAAATCCCATCTTTGATATTACGGAAGCCATCCTGCATTCGATGTGTTAACTCAGCATTTAATGTCTTAAACCTAGCCAGATAACAGCAGCAGTTCAAAGCCTTTTGATGTGGACTAAAATTTACTCTTACTATGTGTTGAATTGCACTTAAACAATATTTTCGGCATAATCATCAAGGAATGGTTTCTTCAAAAGAAATACAACTGTTAATTCATGATTATAAAAGATAAATTCATTTTCCGGAGATGTAACTATTCTGACTAAATGACAATGACAAACTAAAACGATAACACTGGCGGGTGAAGCCTATAGGCATAACACGGGCTTCCATCTGTTAATGTAAATTTCTGTGCATTCAATGATATAATTTAAGCCTGACAATGTTACCTATGAAAACTGGCACATAAAAGATCCTAATAATTTTGAATTTGGTGGACATAAATCTCTATTGTATAAAAATAGTCAACTCTGAAAAGCAACAAATGCCCAAACAAAGACGTTCTGCCAGGGATCATACCCAAACAAAATGCCAGATTCCAAGCCATATATAATTTCCTCAACAACTTCATAGTCCATCTGCATTAAAAAGAATTGTCAACAGAAGGCAGACAATGAAGGCTAGGGAGATGATTGAAGAATCAGAATCAGAAACATAAAAATCGTACAAACTAGCAGCATAAACAAAGAAACTTTTACCGTCTCATGTGCTCTTCTTTGACGTCTGTACATCCGAAGCCATCCATTGAGGACTACCTATGTCAAAAAATCATATTTAATTGCACATGTCAAATCATAATGAGTAATTATCATATTATTTATGATGTACTCCCTCCAACCATGCAGAGACCTATAAAATGTCTGATGAATGGAGCCCTAACTGAAAAATATGCAAAAGGAGCACACAAATAAGGCACCAAAAAACAACAAACGGTAGCAATCAAGTTATAGCCCCAACTTTTAAATTAGATGGGAGAAATTTTGACACGTTCCTTGTTGAGAAATGCAAAGGCTTGAATCATGAAACAAAGCACATTTTTATTGTATTGGAGCACTACACTAAAACCACACACAAAATGCTCCCAAGCTCATCAAGCTTTCTTTATTCTTGCTGCCTATTACACACACATAATGTAGAATTTATCTTAATAAATAAACAGCACACATTACAAAAAAGAAGCCAAAGTCACCAATTCATTCTTCTTTAGGTGAGTTGCAAATGCAACCATTCTTAGGTTGGTTCTAGCGATGAAGAGACAGGGTAATTCCTTAGTCAAAGGTAGCCGTAATTTGGTAGGCTAAACTTTCAGCTGCATGGCTGACTGAATGGTTGCTTTAGAGAGCAAATTCAGGTTTGCTTCTTCGATTATAGAGTTGGTTATGGACTTTAAACACTCCCCCTTAGCAATGACTCTCTTTTTGTCATACCAAGTCGCAATTGAAACTTTGCAATGTTACCACTGAGTGCTTTAATGAAAATTTCAGCACTTGGACTTCCATAATGATTTTCTGCAAAACTAACATTCCTTGTAACTTCTGTTTTAGAAAGTGATAATTCATTTCCATATGCAACATTCTTGCATGAAATACAGGATTTTCTACCAAAAGAATTGCTCACTGATTGTGCAACGTAATGGGATTGCATAATCAAAAGGTTGGAGAAGATCTCTCAGAATTTGAATGCAAGATTTGTCTTAAGTATGAATAGTTCAAGGACCATTTCTAGAGTTTGCGAACAAGGATTGGGCTATAGGTAATTGTTGTGAACAGAGCTAGCAAGGGACCAACATTCAGCATAGTGGAGATCACGCTCATGTAGACTGAAGACCTCAACTGTACCAAATTTGCAGAGTTGCAATTGCGATTAGTAAAAAACCAAGAAAGTCAGGGTTGAGGGAGACTGCTGAGAATTGACACCAACTCTACAAAGTCAATAAGCCAACTTCCAACTATAAGTTGTTCTCTAGAGTCAGCCATGCTAGCATATAAAGGCAACCGTGAAGCTGAAAATTTAACCAATTAAAACAAAACCCACTTTTGCTAGAAATTGAAACAAATCTTCACATCCAGTGGTGCCTCAGGAATCAACATTAAGAAGTGACATTATGCCTTGACCTACATTGGCTCATCTCTGAGTGTTTTATATGAGTGCTCTATGTAACTGTTAGATGAGTGTGTACTGTGTGCATTATAGGTGGCAAGTAGAGACATAGCCTAGTGAGTTTATGACTAAACACGATTCATAGGTAGTATTTGTGAGAAATTTTTCACTCCTTATGTTGGTTGAGTAAGGTCTGTACGGTCCTTGCCAAACTGGTATTTCTCAATGTCCCTATCATTCAGCAGTTTTTAAACTAGCTTAGATTTCAAAAAAATTGAAAAAAATTCTCTTTTCTCTCAACTTCACATACTCATGTATCTATGCAATAGTTCTGACAAAAAAAGCATATCAGTGCTAATAAAGTTGTGCACAGAATAAGGTACCTACAAACAAGATGGCAACAAGCAACGCCAGCCAGGGCAACTGAAAAATAGATATGGGCGAAGCCTCTTGCTCCTCACCTCCAGCACCAACTCCTGCAAATACAAAACAAACAGTAAAAAGGTCTAATAAGCCACATAAATAAGATGTCGAATCACAAAGTAAATATGAAACAGATTTGGAGGATTGGATTTTCATAACCAATGAATAATTTGGCTAAATACAACCAAAGTTCAGGTATTCCAAATGAGACATCTTGATAAAATCTAAATTCATCCACAAAAGGCACACTCTGAACTATGAGTATAACAATGAGATCAACACCAATCCAACAGTCAACCAAGAAGAATTTACATACCTATAGTGCCAATACCTGCCAAAGTGATTCCCATCCAATCAATGACATTCATGACTTCCTTTAGGTAAAAATGGGAAAAGACACAAAGAATAGCAAGTCCACAACCAGAAACTGGTTGGATAATAGATACCTGATAGAAAACAGTCAAGATCACTTTGATGTAGAGCAGGCACAAATGAGATAAATAACTAGCATTAGCGAAATAGAAGTCTACAAACAAATAAAATAGCTCATTTTTTACCAGCAAATGGTGGAAGAACAGGGAAAAATTTTTTTCAAATAATTCTTAACAAGCAGAATCTCACTCTCTGTTCCATTTCCCTTTGCAAGTACATGTTGAAAATGTGTCTCGCAGTTAAATTTTTCATAAATGTCAATCTACTATTTCCATTTTTATTTTCAATAGAAATAGAAATAGAAATTTCCAATCAAGCATAACAATCTAAAAGAAATAAGGAACATAGATGAATTGACTCACAGGAGCTTGAGATAATGCTCTCAACATCAACAATGCACCACATATATCCATAAGAAAACCAATGATCCAAGCTTTATTAGCAACATATGCCCTTATCACCTGAAAAGTCACACACATAAAGTCAATAAACATATCCAACAACCCACTTCCTTCACATACATAGTTAGGTAGCACGCATTATAATAAGCAAAGAATTGGGAGAAATTCCATAAACCCAGAATAAAGAACCGAAAGATTGATTATGTAAATCAAGAAGCCAAGGAACATGCATGCACTTGTTAGCATAAAGATCAATTCTTGAAATTGAAACAACAACAGAATTCCAAATTCTGGAATTGAAAATATTTCCACAATCTTGAAAATTAAAAATAAATGGTATATCTTATTGGCTGATAACTTGTCGTGCAATACAATTGAAAGACTGAGAAAATGAAACAAAAAGAAAACTAAAAGAGAAAGAAAATGGGTAAAAGATGCATGCCTTGAGTTTGAAAGAGAGAGGAGGCAGAATGACAGTGCCCTTCTTTTGAAGAACTTTGCCGATGTTATTACCGGCGGTGGCTGCCAACGTTAAACAGATCGATTCCCACATTTCTTCTGCTCGCTCTGCAAAATCTGAAAGGCAGAGAAGCAAAAAGATCTCTTCTTTCTTGCTCTTTCAAGGTGATGCTGTGCAAGTTCTTTATTTGTTTTTATGCTGGGGTTGATTAGTTTCGTTGTTGTCTTAACATGACCTCCCGTTATTTGCCGGGTTAATAGTTGTAGATGTCCTTTTTTTTTACTCGTCTTAATTGTATTTTTCTAGTTTTAAATTTGTCCTTTTATTTTTTGTTTTCTAAAATTCTTTTCTTTCTAATTTTTTGGGCTAACAGTTTAAATTATAATATTACCTCCACAGGATTATAAGATGCGTCAATTTTTTTTTTCATCTTAATTTTGTTTTTTGTTTTTTTTTCCGCCTTTTGTACCTAGTCTAAATTTTAGGTATAATATATGTCTCTTTTCTTTTTAATGTATGAAAGTCCTTATGCATGGAAATAAATAATTCTTTCACATAATGTTAACTTTCAACCTGTAAAGTGTAACGTGTATTTTAATTTATCTGTTATAACTATTCCTTTCATTCTCTATAAATATATTAGTTGTAAATCTATATAATCTAATTAAGTGTGGTATCTTATCATTATACTCTCTCTCTCTCTCTCTCTCGCATAAGACATGTCTTCTTCATAATCCAACGTAAAAGTTTTTTTAAAATCTATTACTTTTGACCTTCACTTCTTGTATCATATTAATACATTTTAAGGTCTCTTAAATGATGAGCTTTTTCGAAATGTTGTTGAACCATTCAAAAATATACTACAATCTTTGTAAAGTTCACTTATATAGTTGCAAGCTCACTTAATTTAACAAGATTCCAACTCTACTCGTTGTATTTTTTTTTATAGTGATATGCAATCTCTTTAACTTTCTTTCTTCTCTAAGCCTTCAGGTGAATAAGAAAACAAAAGACCTTGAAGGTAGGGCCATGACCTTGGTTGAAAAGGATGACTTCCTACAATTTCAACAAGAATCTACAACTCTACAATCTCAATTAGGAGCCTTTGTAAATCTACAAGCTCAAATGAGAGATTCTTTCATTGTTTCAACAAAGATTTATTTATTTATTTATTTAAAAAAATATGTTGAGCTGATTCTTTATAATAAGAAGGCTAAACTCCTACAGCTTTGTAATAATATGTAACTTTATAAACTCAAATGGGAGTTTCTACAACTTTTCATTGTATAAACGAGAATTGGTTTTCTTTTGGGTCCTTCATTAGATTTTCTAAAGCATTTCTATAACATGTAATGCTCATTCATGGATGGATGTTCTCAATCTCTCTTGATCTTTGGTTAACGATTTGTTTTAATTTCTTGATCTATGGTTAACGATTTGTTTTAATTTAAAAACTAAGGTTTTGCTTGCATTGTAACCTATTTTGGTACTTTTTTAGCCATTTTTTTTTCTAGTATGATTTGGACAAAGTTTGACAATACTATATTTTTTTGGTTATTCTTGTCTTCAAAGTCACAAAAAATGCATGCAATGTTTTAATCAAACCATTACATATCTCTCTTTCTAATGTTAACATTGAAGTTTTAGTCTTGTAAGTCTATAAGAGAATATTAATTTAGGTGTTTTTGATTAATCTATAAACTAAATGTATGAATTTTCTCTTAAATTGAAGTTTTCCTAAATTGAATTTTTTTTGTGTTTTTTTCTTACTCAATTTACAGTTTTAACATACAACAAAACCCCTCTTTAAATCTAAGTTAATTAATTGATTGATTGGTCTTTAAGGTTTGACTCGAACTTGTAACTACTACAAAACCTATGAGTATAATATTATAAGTTAAATTTAGTGAAGTCGATAAGCATCATTTCGTAACTTGGTTTTAAGTAACTTGGTGGTATTGATAGCCTTGAATTCATGGATTAAAGTTTTGGCCTAATCCTATAATCTAGGATTTGATTGTTTTTGTGTGGATTTGAGTTTGTGAACTATTTCTAGATTGATTTATGTTTCGGTACTCTTATTTTTGGTTGTTTGAGTTTGGATTATGTCAAACTATTACTTGTTTATTTTGGATAAAAGTTGCTTTATGCTTGGTGCTTCAACTAATGTATTATTGTCTTCATAAAAACCATATCAACTTAGTATTAAAGCTGATGCAAGTTTTAATATATGTGTATTAATACGTTATGTGAAGATACCTTCTAGACAATAGCCATCAAACCGTATGAACATAATTGAGATGCTAAAAGAAGATAGTCGGGTTGCTATAAGTAAACGAGGAAATTAGAAGAAGCAATCATAACGTAGTGGAGGATGGTTAAGAATTTATGGATGATAAAGAGTCTCAAGATGAAAACCTTTTTCATCAATCACCGACCAAATATTTTAAGAAAGAGGAGGTGACATCACATTATGGTCGATACAATTGAGATAATCAAAACATCAAGACTTTGGTGTTAGAGTAGAGATCCCTAACTTCAAGGATAGATTTAATCTAGATAATTGTATTAAATAGTTGCACATAATAGAGTGAATTTTTTATTTGCAAGATGTGCCAAATGACAAAAGGATCAAGATTATAGACATTATGCTAAAGAAGAATACTTTCATATGATGGGAGAACCTAAAGATGTAGAGAGTTTATGAGGGAAAAAGGTTAGATTACTTTATAGAAGAAGATGAAGAAGGCTCTAGGAGTAAATATCTTTCTAATTACTTTCGGTAAGATACTTTGTTTGATTTTATACTTTTATGCATAATAATTTAAGTGCTCGAAGATTATTTTGTTGAGTTTTAGCACTTAATGTTGAAGTGTGACATTAATAAGCTTCGAGAAACATTTAATTGCTATGGTTTTGTAGTTGTACCAATATTATTCTTTGCAAGATGTCATCAAGTTAGCTTTGAAAGTGGAGCAAACTCATAAAATTAAAAGGGAAAGTATTAGCACAATTTTTGCCGGAGAGCCTATTTTTAGCTAAAGTGTTTCAACCAATACTCTTACACTTAACTCTAGAATGGTTCAGCTAGAAAGAGATAGAGTATTGGGTGGTGCTAATAAATCAAACACTATTGGATTAAATTTATGAAATTATTTCAAGTGTCTAGGATTTGGCTATGTTATTTTAGATTTTCAAAATCAAAGAGTTATCAACCCATTAAAAGAGGCCGAATGTGATGGGGAGGAAGTGATGGAGGAAAAAATGCAAGTCAAGAGAGAAAAAGAGTTACAAGCTAATGTAGGAGAGTTGTTGATGATACGAAGGACCTTGTAAGCTAAAGTAATTGATATAGAGGATGAATAAGATAGACATTGCCTCTTTTGACATCGCCTTTTTTACACACGTGTCACTTCTTATGGCAAGGTATGTGATTTTATTATTGATAGTGGTAGCTATGAGATCATGGTTTATATATATATGGTGGAGAAATTGAATCCGATGATTGTCAACCATCTTGAACCATATATGATGACTTGGCTATTAAAAAAATGCAATTAAGGTGAGCAAGTTATTTATTAAGCGGTTCTTTAATGAGATAACATAACAAAATAAGGTTTGGTGTGATGTCATTTCCATGGATTATTATCATATGCTTTTGAATAAACCATGACAATATGATAAGAGGGTTAAGCATTATGGTTTAAAAAACACATATTCATTTAAGATTAATGAGGAAAAGATTATAATGATGCTAATAAGACTAGAACCATTAATTATACTAGAGATTAATGAAAGAAAAAACGTTGTTCAATTTTTCTACTTGAGTAAGATGATGGGTTCCGAGATAATTCATGATTCGATTGTGTTAAGAAGAGAAAGAATGAAAATGTGTTTGATTATGATGCTTATAGACGTTACAAGGTTAAGGTAGATTAGAATTCACCACCTATCTATGATATCTATTGTGATGTATTTTACAGCATTGTTATAGGCATGGATAAAGGAATTACTATCAATCAAAGTGATTTCTTTGAGCAAGAGAACATTGAGACTAAAGAACTTGGTAAATTCAAGAGTGGTGGTGCTATCAAGGGTGATAATGAGAAGGATGAAACTATTCTAAATGGAACCGAGTGAAGGATCATGTATCTTATGAAGGTGCAAAATAAAATAAAAATTTTTTCTCCTTCTAAGGCTCCTAAGATCAAGCCGTATAATCAACTAATCATACATACATGAATTAAAACATGAGTAAAGGATTACCTCTTATAACATAGATTTAGCTTTTGTAAAAAACAAATTCATCCAAGTATTTGGCCTCTATCGATAATTCACGTAGTCTAAGTACCCTCATAAGAAGCAATCGAAGTTGTAGAGTGCTAGCTTTAACTTTGTTTAACTTATTAATTTTTCTTTTTAAAATTTTTTTCGAGATGTTTTGTGATAGCTCTAACGGAGATAGAGAGTTAGCATGATTTTTAGGTAGAGAAAACTATTTTCTCTTTTGTTTTCTCTATGTTGTGTATCCCCTAAAAATTAGCTATCTTTACCGCCCGTCTCTCGCTCTATTTATAAGGAAGTGGCTTCCTTGTCCTTCAAAGATAAGAAAGTGGTGGCAATAATTCCTAGAAAGACTCTAGGTCGTAGCCTTCCTAGTCCTCAAACGACAAGGAGTTACAATGCATGTTATCTTGTCCTTGTAAATCTTAACCCTTATCTAATAAGGCTCAAGTTTACTTTCTCATCAAAATATCTTATAGGCTTTTAAATTAAACTTATTGGCCTAAACTCTTTTGGCCTAATTAATTACCAATTAATTTGGACTATTCAAATAAATTGGGTTAGATATTTTAGAAAGCCCATATTAGAAAACAATTTCTCAAATTATCCTTAAATCTAAATTAGAAAACTAATTTTCTTTTCAGATAACTTATCTCAAATTTGAAACTAATTTTCAAATTAAGCAACTAATTTTTAAAATAGTAAACTTTCATTTTAGAAAACTTTTCCAAAACAGAAATTTTTCATTTTTGAAAACTTTTCCTAAAATTTTTGCTTCTCTTTTATTATATGAATGCTTAAACTTTTAC